CAAATTATTTTATTTAACTTAACTTCTAATAATCAAAAAAAGTCAAGTAATATATTTAATATTAATAATAAAAAGTTTTTAAAGGAAGAAAAACTAATTGTAAAGTATTTGAAAGTCTTTTCAATTCTTGAAATAAAAGATTATAAAGACTTTATTATAATAAGAAGACATATATTTTTTTGATTAAATTAATTCTCTTAAAATTTTTACTTTTATAATTTTTTGAAAAATTTTATTTATCTTTATTTAATCCTAAATTTTAAATAATATAAATTTTTATCAAAAGTGATTAACAGATATAAAATTTATTAATTTTTGAAATATAAACAAGCTTTTATTAATTATATTTATATGTTTCAATAATATTAATAATGATTAAAAAAAAGATTCAAAATTATTCTTTTTCAATAATTTCAAGTCCTTAAAGAATATATTCAAAATATCAAAAAATAAAAGATAAGTAATATAAATTATAAAGTTTTATTTTCTTAAGTTTCTCAAATAATAAGAAAGCTTTCTTAATCAGATACTAAGATTTTTGAGTTTTTCTTAAGCTATTTCAATTCAATATTTGCTTAAATAATAAATTAGTTGGATTAATTTGTTCAATATTCATTAATAACTCTTTCTGCTAATTCCTTAATAACACACAAAAAAGATATTTGCAAAAAAATTTTATACTTTTCTACTAATAAGTCTTATTACTTTCCTTAAAAAAAACTTGAAGAATAACTTTAAGAGTCTCTTCTAACTTTCTTCTCTTGTTTATATTTCTTTTCAAACAAAAACTTGACTTCCAGTAACCAAAAAAAAGTCAAGAAACACTTTTTTTATCCATAACAAGAAAGTTCTAAAAGGAAGAAAAATCAACAGTGAAGTATTGAAACCTATCTTCTGAAGCAAAAGTGCAACTAGAGATTTTCTGCAGTGGATAGATGAGCAAACAAAAATCTAAACCATAAAACTTTTCTCCTCACTGTTTTTACTCTCTTAGAGTCACTCATTTTTTAGAGTTTTTGGGGAATTTTGCCTACCCCAGCTTGATCTTAAATTTTGAAGTGACACAAAATCGACATAGCTTTAATTAAAGGTGATTGATCAACACGAAACACATTGGTAGCAGAATATAAACAAGCTCTTACTGATTACATCTTGTATTCCAATGACATCATTAGTGAAAGAAAGAATAACTACTGGTATAGACTTCTTCACTTCTTCAAATGAAGTGTAACTAAAGCAAAGAAATAATGAGGTCATTAGGATGGGCACTAAATTTCCTAGATGATGAAAAGATAATTATTTATTCAAACTGAGGCCTTCAACTTCTTATCATCCTGGTTAGACAAAGTATGTGAAGAAGTTTATTTCCTTATCCTAGTCAGGTTGTAAGAAAGAAAAGCAGAGAAATGTAAAACACTGCTTTTCTCTAGGATTGAGAATACATTTCCTCAAATGTTGTATAATAATATTGTAATTGATAAGGATCCCCGATACTGGCTAAGACCCTCATACTATTATATGGCAAAAAGATTCATAGAGGATCTGATTTTTTGGGTAATGGAAAATATATATCAGTAAAATTCCTTTAATTAGGTGTGACTACTGAAAGATATTGGGAGTTATACAACAAGATTGAAAAGTTACATAAAGAACTTAGGGTTTATTGTTAGTCATCTTCTTTTGTGTAGGTGGATACAAAATCAAGATCAAAAGAAAGAAAGCATGGAATAAGATACTAGATATGAGTAGGTGATAAGTACTTCAAATGATCACAAGAAAATAATCAAGATTACAAATGGATAAGCTTTCCAGATGGTCAGGAAAAAAAAGAATATTCTAAAAAGATTGACTTCTAATAAGAAGAGGTTTTTAGCAAAAGTCCTTTGAAGGATATGAAGTATTTTAATTTTCTTTTTTTCTTTTCATTTTCTTATAGTGTATTTGTATATTTTTAGATATCCTATTTTCTTTTATTTTTCCTTTCCCTTTTTATTGTTTTACAAATTCAGTTCCTTAAAAGATAATAAGTAGTGCTAACTTGCTAGCAATGATGAGTAAGTTAGGAAAGTACTTACCCAAAACTTAGTTCAGAGCGAAATATTGTTTTCAAGGTTGTACTTAGAGGCTGAAGCTCTTTTGAGAATTGAAAGTCATTGACGAGTGTGTCAGTACGCGTTTTTAGTTTAGCTATGATGCAATTGTCCTATGTATCTTCATTAGTTTTATATTAATTAATAAACACATAGTGCTGGTCTGACCATAGGTTTAAAAAAAAAAAAAAATTAATTTGTTCAATATTATAGATGATAATAAAAATTAAGTTGATCCTCTGACCATATACAAAAAAGATGTTCGCAAAAAGTTTTATACTTTTTTGCTAATAAAGTCTTTATATTTTCATTAAAACAACTTGAAGTTTATATTCATGTATCTCTTCTACCCTTCCTTACTTATTTATAAACTCTTTTGAATAAAAACTTGAGCCTCTAATGGTTTGAAAAGACTTAAGTATGCACTTTCTTTATCAAGGGCAAGAAGGTTCTAGGAAGTAAAAGGATTAACAAGTAGGGTGTCATCTTACAAAGCTAGAAGCAATAAGAAATGAGGTTTCGTTAGTAGGGCAAGGCTTATTATTTATCTTCTCATATACAATCTTAAATCCTTTTAAAGTGTCTACTGTTTTTCATTGTTTTTTGGGGGAATTTTGTCTATCTCAGTTTGACTCTAAATTTCTGATAGCACAATATTACCTGGAATCTGATTGGTTAACATAAAACACATTAGTAACTGAATGTAAACAAGCTCCTATTGATCATCTCACGTATTCCGATAACATTATTAGTGATAGAAAGAGTTGATTGATGTTATGTGTTCACCCTACTCCTCCAATTGGGTTAACCTATAGATCAAATATCATGAAACCAATAATATACGAGCAACAAATCCCCATGTGGTGAAAAAGTTGCTATTTGTTCAAGCTAAAGTTTTTCTCTCCTATTATTCTGGTTAGGCAAAGTTCAAAACCAAGGTCTCTTTTTTATCCTGGTCAAGCAATAAGACTGAATGGTCTCTAGTTCATACTAAGCTTCAACCCTTTGGTTACAGTTAAGAATACATTTTCTCAGAAATTGTTAAAGAATACTGCAATTAACGAGAATCCCCACTACTCTTTTGATACCCCCCTACTATTGTAAAACAAAAAAATCTTTGAAGAATGACTATTTTGAACAATGGAAGATATATATCAGTAAAATTCATTTAACTAGGCATAGCTGCTAAAAGATATTATACTAAAATAACATAAACCAGTTTCTATTAGGTCACATAAGAATCTAGATTTCATTATAAGTTACTTTTCTATTACAGATAGATAAAAAATCACTGCTTAAAGAAGGTTGAACAAAATATGCCCTGAAAGTAAAGACTCTACTAGTCAATAAGTCTCCTCAGATAGTATACGAGAAGAAATCAAAATCAAGAATGGATAAGTTCCTCAGATAGTCAGGAAAAGAAAGAATATTTTAATTGGACATTTCTTATTAAGAAGAGGTTTTGAAAAGCAGGCCTTTGAAAAAAACTGGAAATATTTTTTTTAATTTTTACTTTTTATTTTCTTGTTCTCTATTTGAACATTTTTAAATATTTCCTATCCTTTTTTTCAACCTATTTTTTTGTAATTTCTTGTATTTCAGTAACTTGATCAGATATATGATAGTGACAATCTGCTGGCAATAATGCAGTGAACTAGAAGAATTTTTATTCAAAGATACTGTGAAGTGAAATATTGTCTTCAAAACCAAACTTAGAGACTATTAAACTTATGATAAGTTAGTTAAATTAGAATAATAGTTTAGCTATAGTATGTATCATATTGTTTGAATGAAAATATACTTATGTTTTCAATTGATTAATAAACTTACAATCTAGCCTAATTACAAGTATACAAAAAAAAAAAAAAAATTATAGATGATAATAAAAATAATCTTTTTTAAGATTCAAGTAGAAACAAGATAAATCTCTTTTGAAAAAAGGTTGTTCAGTTAATAAACTTTTTTGAAAAAACTTGAATTATACCTCTTTCATTTTTTTCTTTTCACTTTATTAATTTAACAATTCATGATCTTTAAACAATCTATAACAAATTGCTGATAACAAATCTAGAAAATAGAAATATATACCAATCCTCTAGAAGAGTGAAATTTTGTTTCCTAAACTTAACTTAGAATACTTCAGTGCAATGATAAGTTAATTATTATGTGAAAAATCTGTAATATTGTAGATATATAAACTTTTCAATAAAGATCAAGCCATATGGTATAATTGTGGATTAAAAAAAAAATTATTGTAGTAATACCTGAATTAACAATAATAAAAAAATATGAAAATAAAATAAGTATTAAGTTAAAGAAAGTATATTTAAAAAAGGTTATCTTTATTTTTCTTTTATACACTTAGAAAGTGTTAGTATATATCACATAATATATTAAATAAATGAAAAAATTTTTATACACACCATTATAATTTAAACGTAGTTTTTTTAGTATACTGTATGTTTATGTTCCATAAGAAGCTTTACAACAAATGAATTGGGTAAACAAAAAAAGGAAAGAACGGAAAAACAACACTACGATTTAAGTTTCTTTAACGTTTAAACAGGATGAGTCATTAATCTGATTCCAAATGACTCAAAAAAGATCCTTTACGTTTATGGCAATAGCTGCTAATAACCAAACGCGTGTTACCAAAAAAAAAAAAAAAAATTGATCATAAAAAAATGGCATGGTGTTTGACCTGTATTGGAACAGGTAGATAAGGGTGGAGTTTTTAGAATCATACTCACACATCAAGCAGCTTAGCAACAATGAATTCAACTCATAGACTCACGTCTTTACGATGTACAACATCCGCCTATTCTGCCCTTGTTTCTTCCTCACACGGCGTATCAATAAAATTGAGGGATAGAATAAAAAATAAGGTGAACACGTTTGTTGCCTTATCTAATGGCTACCAACGAAGGTGGAAGGCTAGTGCTGTTGGGTGAGCTAGGCTTCTAGAAATTCTATCACGTTTCTTAGATAATAATATGCTTACTTTTTTTTATCTTCGTAAACTTTCCAATATAGCACACTTTCACAACCCACTTACTCAACTCCTTCTCCCTTCCTACGGACAAAAAAAATTCCAGTTTCGTCAGAAATTACAACCGAACCGGCCCCTGCTTACGACAATTCTTTTGTAGGTTTATCCGGTGGTCAAATCTTTCACGAAATGATGTTGCGTCACGGTGTGAAGCAAGTATTTGGCTATCCGGGAGGTGCGATTCTTCCAGTGTTCGATGCCATTTACAACTCGAAACATTTCGATTTCGTACTTCCAAGACACGAACAAGGCGCTGGTCATATGGCAGAAGGTTATGCTAGAGCAAGTGGCAAACCTGGAGTTGTTCTTGTAACCTCTGGGCCTGGTGCAACAAATGTTGTAACTCCTATGCAAGACGCTTTATCTGATGGCACTCCGTTAATCGTGTTTTGCGGACAAGTACCTACTTCTGCCATTGGGACAGATGCGTTTCAAGAAGCTGATGTTGTTGGCATTAGCCGAGCTTGTACAAAGGTATTAAATATTTTTAAGTAATTATATGTTTTTTATGAGATATTAATATAATAAATTTTTTTTGCATTAAAGTGGAATGTAATGGTAAAAGATGTTGCTGATCTACCGCGTCGTATTACTGAAGCATTCGAGATCGCCACCACAGGACGTCCTGGCCCAGTGCTTGTGGATCTTCCAAAGGACGTGACTGCTGCCATCCTTAAAAAATCAATTCCTACACAATATACTCTCCCATTCCGCGCGTTTAGCGATGTGCCCGCATTAGCTTCTTCTATGATCACTGGTCCTGCTATTCGTCGTGCAGCCGAGTTGATCAACAAAGCAAAACGTCCCTTAATATATGCAGGTCAAGGTGTTCTTTCGACATTAGAGGGCCCGAAATACCTAAGAGAACTCGCTTCAAGTGGAAACATTCCGGTGACAACTACTCTTCAAGGCCTCGGTGCTTTCGATGAATTAGATCCTCGTAGTTTGCATATGTTGGGCATGCACGGTTCTGCCTATGCCAACCTGGCCATGCAAAATGCCGATGTTATTATTGCGCTAGGTGCGAGGTTTGATGATCGTGTGACTGGACATTTAGCACGTAAGCATATTATATTATTTTTACGTTATAATACTCCTATTTCAACTTATTTAAACTTTATCGCTCTCCGCAGATTTTGCACCGGAAGCTAAAAGGGCCGCTAAAGAGGACAGGGGTGGTATCATTCATTTTGAAATAAGCCCTAAAAATATTAATAAAGTTGTTCAAGCAACCTGTGCCGTTGAAGGCGACGTATCTGACAACCTCAATAGGATTATGCCGTTTATTGAGTTTTCCGATCGTAAAGAGTGGTTTGGCCTTATCGACGAATGGAAAAAGAAGTATCCATGGACCTACGCCAAACCAAAGACATCAGATTCCCCATTAAAACCACAACAAATTATTGAAGAATTAGATCTTCAAACTCGGGATTACAAGGAGAAGGTCCTTATGACTACAGGTGTTGGACAACATCAAATGTGGGCAGCACAATTCTTTAGATGGCGGTATCCTAGAACCATGATTACTTCAGGCGGTTTAGGAACCATGGGATATGGTTTGCCCGCGGCAATTGGTGCGAAGGTTGCATGTCCAGATAAAGTTGTTATAGATATTGATGGCGATGCAAGTTTCAGTATGACTGGAATGGAACTGGCGACAGCCGCCCAATTTAACATTGGCGTAAAAGTATTGATTCTTAACAATGATTTCCAAGGGATGGTAAAACAATGGCAAGATCTATTTTACGAAGAACGTTATAGTCAGACCAGAATGAAAAATCCTGATTTTGTGAAATTAGCGGAGGTAAGCATGAATTTATTACCATTATGGTTATTATTGTATTAATACGAAGCTAATAATTTATTTTATTAAAGTCTTTCGGCGTAAAAGCACTAAGAATTCGCACAGAAGAAGAAATACCAAGTAAGATGGCTGAATTTTTGGAGTATAATGATGGACCAATTGTATGCGACGCCATTATAGAAAAACATGAACATGTATATCCTATGGTGCCAGCTGGTAAAGCATTGCATGATTTTATTGTTCATCCAGATTTAGAGAATCAAAAAAATTAAATGTTAAATATTTTTATTAAAAAAAAAAACCTTTTAATTGTAATGATAACATTAATTGTTGCAAATATTGTATTATTTGTGATTTGAATAACTATTGTTTGCGAAAATAAATTATGAAATAATAATATTTGAATAAAAAATGAATAATAATTAAGGATTATTTATTTAATATACAGTGGTTCACAATCATGATTATATTCATAAAAGTTATCAAATTTATAGTATATATTATGTCATTTGATACTTGGTAATATTTTTATATTTTTTTTTCAAAAATTTTTAATATGATTATTGTTAAATAAATTAATTTCATAATTTAATGAATTTTTAACAAAAAAATTTTTATTTTTTTTTACTAATTTTGACAATACGTATAAAGATACAAGTTATATAATCCTATATCAATAAATTCTTATTATATTTTTTTCAAAAATTATTTCTATTTCTCTTCTCTTGCTTATAATTCTTTTTAACCAAATATTTGATTTTTGATAATAAAGAAATATTTTTTTAATCGATAACAAAAAACTTTCAAAATAAAAAAAAATAATAATATGGTATTAAAAATTATTCTTTCAAAAACAAATATATAAAGATTCTATATAATGAAAAAATAAATAAATATAAGCTTAAATTTTAAAAACTTTCTTATTTACTATTTTTATTTTTTGATAATTATTTAAAATTTACTTTTTTTTTAATTCGCAATTATGTTATAATGGCATGTTTTTATTTAAAAATTAGAAATCTAATATAATTATAAACTTTTCACAAAACAACCAATCTATCTTTATATAAAAGTACTTTAAGTTCAATTTAGAAAACAATATTATATTCTTTTGATTAAATTGAATTTATTTTTATCTATTAGAACTATCATCAACAGTTTGTCACTATTAATTGATCTGAAAATCATAAATTGTTAGGATTAAAGGAAAAAGAGAAATAATAAAATAAGAAAAGAAAATAATTAAATATTTATCAAAAAATTTCAAAAATAAAAATAATTTTTTCTCAAAAAGGATTTGCTTAATTGAAATAATTTTCTTGTTTCTCTTGAACTATAAAAAAAATTTTTTTATTATTATTTATAGTATCAAATATGTTAATTTAAACAATTTTTTATTTAAGCAGTATTGAATTGAAATATTTTAAAAAATATATTATTTGAAAAATCTATATAAGAGATAAAAATTTATAATTCACTTTTGGTATTATAGATATTTTTATTAAAAAATTTGAGTTTCTAGAGATAAATATTTTTAAAATATTCTTTTTTATTAATTATTTTTGAAAATGAATTAAAAATTTTTTGGGTCTAAAATTATAACCTCAAAATTATATTTTAAAAATATAATTTAAAATTACAAAATTTTATATTTATTAATTTTATTAATTATAAATATAT